CTGTACCAGGACAAGGTGTTCTGCTTCATCCATCTGAGTGTTCAGGAGTTTCTGGCTGCTCTTCATGTCCATCTGACCTTCATCAACTCTGGACTCAATCTGCTGGAAGAACAACAGACAGACTCCCAGAAGTCTGGAACAAGAGATCCTACATTCTTCTACCAGAGTGCAGTGGACAAGGCCTTACAGAGTCCAAATGGACATTTGGACTTGTTCCTCCGCTTCCTCCTGGGTCTGTCAGTGCAGATCAATCAGAGTCTCCTTCGAGGCCTGCTGACTCTGACAGGAAGTAGCTCACAGACCAATAAGAAAACAGTCCAGTACATCAAGGAGAAGCTCAGTGAGAATCTGCCTGCAGAAAAGAGCATCAATCTGTTCCACTGTCTGAATGAACTGAATGATTGTTCTCTAGTGGAGGAGATCCAACAGTCCTTGAAAGCAGAACGCCTCTCCACAAATAAACTGTCTCCTGCTCAGTGGTCAGCTCTGGTCTTCATCTTACTGTCATCAGAAGAAGATCTGGATGTGTTTGACCTGAAGAAATACTCTGCTTCAGAGGAGGCTCTTCTGAGGCTGCTGCCAGTGGTCAAAGCCTCCAACCAAGCTCTGTAAGTAAATATGTGACCATCCCTTTAATTTTAAAATGTTGATTCCACTTAATAGAAAACCATTCATCCATCCATCCATTTTCTTCTGCTTATCCTTACTGGGGTCATGGGGGGGTATGTTCTAGGCCTACCCTATCTAGCTTAGTGCGAGAGGCAGGGTACACCCTTTGGTTTTCACCAATCTAACGCAGGGCTAGCACAGAGAGACAGACAACCATTCACACTCACATGGAAAGCATGTATGCACAATGGAAAAAAGAACAATTGAATTAAACTTATAATCTTGTCAAGCTGATTCTGTTCATTTGAATGTAAAATTCTCCATGGAAGGGACGTTTTGTCAGTCAAGTGACCACCTCAGTTTCAGTTGACACGTTTCCACAATTTTATAAACAGTACTTTTCCATCATGAGCAAAATGATCACAGTGGACTAACAATGGGTTATGAGGTCAATTTCGTGACCATTAATATAGAAATTTTCATGACCATTTATCAATAAGTAATTAGTACAATTCACAGAAAGTTGGGGAATGGTTGCAGTCACACATGGTATGCATAATATGTGACCCGAAGATCGCTACAAGAGCAGACACACTCAGCAGGCTACTGTTAGAGTGTTCCTGTTGTTAAGGTGGAGTCATCCTGTAATCTCTTTCAAACTACCTTCACTACTTAAGTTACTGGAGGTAACTGAAGGTAAGGGCAGGTAAATGGTGATGCAACATGATATGAGACTATTGTTTTATCTTCAATAGTAGCATATCTCACCTTCTCCTTGATATCCAAAGTGTTTTGAGCCATAAATCTTAATACATTGCATATAGCCAAGTTGAACACACAGACAATAGGTCATAGGTATACCATACAGTGCTTTGTTTTTTTTAATCACAAATGTCATTGTGTTTCAGACTGAGTGGCTGTAACCTCTCAGAAAGAAGTTGTAAAGCTCTGTCCTCAGTTCTCAGCTCTCAGTCCTCTAATCTGAGAGAGCTGGATCTGAGTAACAACAACCTACAGGACTCAGGAGTGAAGATTCTCTCTACTGGACTGAAGAGTTTGTGTTGTACACTGGAAACTCTCCGGTAAGTAAACTTTTTCACTTTAAAAAAAATCTGAATTTCTGAATAATTATTTTTGCATAGACAGCTAACCCTTATAGAAATTTAAAACGACCTTTTATTAACCTTTTACATGTATTATCAGATTCTGACTTGCTATCTAAAAATGTTTGATATGCGAATTTTGTTTTAGATTTGTTTGAATGAATCAAATTTATGCAATGATCATTTAGAGATCTATGTTCATAGCATACCAATTTCCTTTCATTGTTATGAACTGTAGCGTTAGGAGTTAGATTTAGGACTACAGAAAAATTAAGAGAAAAGCTACATTTTGCATTTAGTTAGAATACCAAAAAAAGTATATTGTACAGACATCCATAGATATGCTGAGATATATTGTCATTGATTTTTCTTGAGGTCATCACGTGTTTTGGGCCTTGCAACATTAAGACAGCCTTGATTAGGTGACTCAGTCAGGCCTGAGGAGACCTTGACTTATGTCCCAGCTGCACTGGCCCACGATTTGGACCTATTAATGCAAATCCACCTGAAGGCTCTTTTTGCAGCCTCAGTGACAGATTTGATGGCCTTCCTCTTTGCAGCTCCTCTGATGCCAAGAGAGTTGTAGGTCTTAGAGAGGAATATCTGGCATCAGTAAGCCATTAAAATGAGATTTTTCTTTGACTGCAGACCTGTTTACTGTTCCTAAGGGCTTTTGGGTAGCTGTTGTAGATATGCAGTGTACCCTCACCTGGTTTGGAGGAGGCATGTTGGATGCTTTCTCTTGTCACAGAGAGGCAGGCTTGCTGGACAGGGTAGCATGTCATACATAGCTTGGAGCACGAACTGCATGCCCTGAGGTTCTGCATAACAGATGTCATCCTAGGTGATTGTATTCTTCTATTCTCCTTCCCGTTTCATCCATGTCCCCTGGTGCCACATTTACAGTATGTATGCTAGTTTATGCTTTGTCGATTTAGTTTGCTACTTATCTTTATGAACTTTAATCTTTTGTTCATACCTGCCTGCTTGATCATCATCATGATAGATAGACAGATAGATAAACAGCCATGCTTTTCCCATCCATCATCAAGTATCCTTAAAAGGGTAAAAAGCTGATCCAGTGTTCCGTAACTAGGAAGAAAACCACATTGTTACTCCAGTATTCGAAATCGACTACCAGATGGACTCTCCTTTCCAGCCCCTTGGCATAGATTTTTCCAGTGAGACTGAGGAGTGTGATCCCTCTATAATTGGAGCACACCCTCCGGTCCCACTTGTTCAGTACCCCAGGCTGCCAATCCAAAGGTACCAACCCTGATCTGCATGCAACATTGTAGAAGCAAATTGTAGAGGGCAAATCTCATCCAGTACAGGGGCTTGGCCATCAAAGATTTGTTTAACTGCCTCAGTGACCTAACACCTCGTGATGGAGGAGTCGTCCCCCTTATCCCCAGACTCTGCTTCCTCTATGAAAGACATGTCAGTGGGATTAAGGAGGTCCTCGAAGTCTTCTTTCCAATATTCTGCTGTGCAGGCAGGCAGGAAAGGACTCAAAATTCTGACTTATTCGCGGCGATGAAACTTAAACTCAAAAAGGCAGCTTTATTGCTGGACACGAGAAAAAACTAAACTTGAATATGCAAAATAAACTTGGCAGGCTTAGCAGGCAGAACAGACAGATTGGTATGAGGGAGACTGTGACACGGAACTGAGGGAGACGCTGACATAAATACACAGAAAGATAAAAGGGGATGTGGGAGCACACGGGGAACACAGCTGACATGGATAATCATAGCGAGACAGAACGTACATGGAAACACAAGACCTTCACAATAAAACAGGTAACGAGATACGAGTGGAGGAGAGACAGATGAGAGGGAACGAAGGAGAGAGGCAGACATGATGGGCTGGAGAAACAACATGGAATAAAACACAAGGAGAGAAAAAAGGCACAAGGACTCACACCACTGTATAGACACAGACACCCAGGGGGAGACACTGAGGGCAAAGACACAAGGGGGAATCTAATAAACCAAACTAAGCAGAATAACCTAGGGACAATAGAATAAACCCATAGAATAACAACATGACTTAAATATAATACAAAATGACAGAAAATACAATAAAACTAAAAAACACTGGGTAGAATAACCCAGGACCATGACACTTGACAATACCCTCAGTTTAAATATGTCTGTGAAGGTTCTCAGTCATCCAGGTCATCGTAGACGCAATTATTAACCACCTCTTCTACGTGGATGACATCAAGCAGTATGCTTGAAACAACCCAATGTTAGGCAGGTGGTCCTAATATTGTGCCTGATCGACGTATAAGGTGCACTTATAAATCAAGTTAAAAGTATATGTATTGTTATTGGTATCGGTTCAGGGAACACAAGCCCTTTGTTTACTTCATATCAGATCGATACCAAAATTTA